GTGATCTTTGACGGACTGGAGCCTGTAGGCGATTTGGATCGCCCCTTTTCCTTTCTCACAGGACTCATGACGCCCGTCACGCTCCTTCTCGGTGTCGATAGCGAAGCTGATGACGATCTCTTCTTTTCTCCGTCCTTGGACCACACAGCATGACCAACTTCTTTCCAGGACGAATGTGATAGGTCGTGGCTAATACCAGAACTTGCACTTTGGGTGTCCGGAGAGTCTGCGATTGCCGGCGCGGCAAGCACCGCTGGAACTGTCATTTCCAAAGGTTGCAGTCCCTGGGCTTCCGGAAGAGTCCATTGTACGGCTGTAAATATGATTTCAAAAGGTTGTACTGTATCGCAGTTGCAATCCACCGCTTACGGCTGATAACCTGCCAGGAGGCGAGTCAACCACGTAGTCAATGACAAGGCAGTTGGGGTTCGAATCCCGTGGGGTGACCAAGACCCTCGACAGTGGAGTCGTATAGTAGTGGTCGTTGTAAAAGGGGGTTGTAAGGTAAATGATCTGCGCTGTCTCACGACTCGATGCGACGGCGGAATACGGACCTTTTGCTTTGCTTCACAGCTGTATATTGGATGTTTGCCTCGAATGTACTATCAAGGTCTTGAGCCAAATGCATTCGCATGTACATGTCGGCTGCACACAAAACACCATTTCCCCCAAAGGTTTGAGGGACCTTAAAAGAGGGGAAAGAACAGGGTGACCCTCAGAACCTGCCCTTAGGATGTTTTAGCCTGCGGCTCGGAGATTCTTAGCAGAAACGAATCACAGTTGTGTCCCAATCTATCATCATGTTGATATTCCAAATGCACCGGTGGTCGGTAGAAGTCTAGCGACTTACCTTTGATGCCATAGTGCTCCAAACGTCGTTCAGTGTATCCATAGTCTGATGCCAGAATAGATCCTCCACTGTGGCAACCAGGTAGCGTAACGGTGGTACTGCTGTGACCAGGCCAAGAAGATCAAACATACCTTGAACAAAGAAGACGCGAGGAACTTGAACGTGACGGCACCCTTGTGACTTCCTAAGCAGACTACTGATGCGCTAAACCATAGCAATGTAGTAGAACCTGTAAGGTAAAAACCCGACAAGTATGATGTAGTGCCTTTCAGAGTTGTTGAACTAGTTCATGCGCTGGTGGTTGACCAGGGACATCAGGGAAAGTAGCCTTGGTGAGTTCGAAGATCAGAGTGCCAAACACGGTAAGAAGTGGTGCTGCCCATGTGCGAAAGAAGGAAATACTGGGACGTGCTTATCTCCTTTCACAACAAACTACGACGTCGACTTCACCCTGTTCTTCCTCATCGTTTTCGACTACAAGCAGAAAGTGATATTCACAGGCACTATGACCTGCTGCATAGTCTGGGCTCCAATACTGGCGCATCCTCCTTTCAAGCCATGCGTGACTTGATCTCTGCGGCTTTCCCGTTGACGTCGTTTATGACGGAACCCTTCAAGGCCAAAGCCGAACGACTCCTTCATGACGCGCTGAAACGGCGTGGTCCTACCAGGCCCGCTGCATCCTGCAACCTCCTCTCCAACTCACGTTGCCCGCTGGAAGAAGACACTAGGGACCGGGCTACATCACTGGCGCATTGTGATTATTTTCCTTCGCACTCTCCCACCACAGGCGCGTATTGTTGAAGTCAAGAGTTCTTCACTGGCCGATCGATTGTGCACCTGTCGCCGTTAGCCAGTGTTCCTCACTTCGATGAAACTATTCCCTGGTGTTGATGCTGAGCTGCTGAATGCTCTATCAGGTTCCGATCCACCTTAAGCGAAAGCTCGGACTTTTTGCGAAAAGTTGGAACATCCTGAACACGTACGACCTTCCTCGTTGACCATTTCCGTTTTGTTGACATGCTTCTATCTAAGCACGATGCTCGACTCCCGTTGTCGCGCACGTGGGCAGCTCCCTCTACATTGACTACAGCCATTGTATGCCCCCGGTACTTTGCCGGCGCTCTTCTCCGCTCTTCTGCGTCGGACCTTTTGAACAGGAGAAGTGTTTACACAGTGTCGATACCCTGCTTCCTTCCGGGCCACAGTGCTTGATTCCATCTCACCACGCATCCTCAGGAAGTACACGTGATTCTTCCCAAGCCCGCCAAGGACTGGCAGTGAAAGAGCGCGAGCCCGAAAATCTGTGAGACGCTCTTCTTTGGAACCAATGCATGGTCAACATGCTTACTTTGAACCTGCGTTTCACTTTTGGCATCGTACCAACACCTCTCGGATGTTCTGCGCGATTCCTGTGCAAGTCCACCAGCCCAATAGTTCGATTTGGTCCTTGGAGAGCAAATGGTAGTACTTTCTCAAACCACAGCGTAATGCTTCGTGGGTGCATCTGTTGGTGGCTCCCACGTAGAACGGGGTGTGGAAGGGCGAGAGCCTTACGTAAACACAGGGTTGCTGAAAATGGATGGGGTCCGTGGGAAGATCATGAAGCTCAGTGACACGAGACTGTAGTAGAGGAACATGTCGTGTGGTCGAACACGAAAAGAATGTCTCGCACGACCAACATCTTCCATGCTCGACACCTCGTGAATCTCAGATCGAGGCAACGGAAACGCCGGACAAGCGAGCATCCACAATCTCAAGATGAAAGTGCACTGTTGTGTGAAAGAACGAGGAGAGTTCCAGGAGATAGCTGCATCGCGCAAGCCGCAACGCCGGAAATCAGACCACATGCCAAGACCAGACTCTAGCCTGTGAACCAGAACGCAGCAATACAATGCAGTGAATACAAATTTTGTAATCAGGCAAGTACCCACATGACTGGCCCGTGACGCAAGCATGGATGATGCAAACCAACTGCACGCCAGCAAATCGGCTCAGGACGTCGTCATGTGCTTGCCCGTGAAATGCAAAATTTAAAGGGCCTTGTCAGCAAGTTTGGTAACATAGGTTGGTTGCAGCCCCCATTGACTCGCTGCTAGTGTCAATGCCTCACCTGAACTCAACTTCACCCCGAGCCTGTTGATACTGGTTGGCCTTGGTCTTCGTTGTGCGGTAGACGTTGGTGACACGAATTGAGAATGGCACGGGGGAAATCCGGCTGCCACACGTGGAGATCCCCAGCTAAGCTTGGCCGTGAGTGATGCAATGATTGGGGATGAGGGCATCTGAAACAACTATTAAGAGGAAGGGTGGAGCGGTCGGGCGACTCGACTTCCATGTTGGTCGCAGTAGTGGCCGGCTCTTGAGTCGTGTTGCCAGGTCGTTGAGTTTGTCCTTGTTGAGGGTTGAGTTGTCCTGAAGTTCATGAAGCTGGACCATCATCGGCAGGCTGGGGGCGAATGTTGGCATGGATCTCAGCGAGCAACTGAAGGATGCTCTGGGCGATATGACCGTACTTGAACTCGTGGGCCGAAATCCTGGAGATTCTTGTTCATCTCAGCTGCAGGTCCACTGCGTAGCTGGTTCGTATCACTTTTGACGTAGTTTCCCAGAGCAGAGCTTCAGCACGGGTTCTGAACGCCTCCCACGCAACAAATCTGCCGTGGAGCCAGTTGCCGAAACCGTTGTGTATTTCCTGAGAAAGACGGATGTCATGTCAGCTATGCTGCCGATGTCTCGCCTGTGTGGAGCTGAAACTACTCGGGTCGGGAAGTGGCAGATTTCACACTTCCTGTTTGTCGCGAAAACCTGGAGCGGGCTGCCATGAGGTTGGGGGCAGTGTTGTGGCCGCGGGTGATGATGCCGGCAGGCACAAGACTGGTGGCTGGTTCACGCATGGCGCGGTGCCGAACGAGCAGGCGGTGTTGGCATAGTCGGTCATGTTCTGATCATGATTGAGATCACGGCTGAGATCGGCGAGGTGGAGAAGTAGGTGATCGACGCTGCTGAGAAGAATAGCGCCGGGGCCGAGACGACTGTTGCGACGAGGCATGACGAATGTCAGTCTGAGCACTGGTCACAACGCTGTCAAGTACCGACAAAAGCAGCACAGACAAGCGCACCAAGTCAAAAACATGCGGCGCAGTCCAAGCACAACTAGTGAAGATGTAGCTGATCAGGTAGCTCGAGTGGTGACTGAGGTCACGCGAAAACCCACCCGAAAACCAAGGCAACGCAACTCAGGAAGCACCATGCTGAGATCACTGCAAACGCCAGAGGCGTCCCGGGGTCACACAATGGGAACACCCGAGGGTTCCCCATGAACGGGGTGGAACACGCTTAAGTGACTCCCAGAGGGGAAAGAGATCTGACCTTCGAGTAGCTATGAGTCGAGTTCACAGGTTCGAGTGGTGACTGACGTTCCCTTTAGATGCGAACACAAACAGACACAGACAGACACAAACAGACACAGACAGACACAAATAGAAGAGACAGACACAGAGACAAACAAAGAGACAGACACAAAGACAGACACAGAGACAAACACGGAGACTCATATCTGATACCATATCCCAAATGGGACAATTTGGTTTGATGCCTGATGTTGCTTTTTGTTTGTCGCACCCACACCAACATGAGAATGTTCACTAGTTCCGTATAATTGGGCTTCCGATAACTTGAAGCACATTTGTCGCTGCCACTTATCCCTGTTTGGGGGCAATGCGAATTTGGGGCAGTCGCTAGTGCATTTGTGACGGGATTGCCTTGGAACTCCGTACTTTTAACATGGAACATGTCAATGGCGGCAATTGCTTCATGTTTTTGGAGGTTGCCTTGGAAAGTCTTTGCAAGGGCTTAAGCCAAATCAGTAGCAGCCAGTAACAGTAGTTGGCAAGCACATGCATCATCGTGGTATTCACGATTGTTGACTTTGCGCCGCCTCGAAACGAGACGGAAAAAACACTGTTGCTGTTGCTGTTGGGCCGGAATGCTGGGATAATGTTGCTGTTGGGCTGGAATGCTGGGATAATGTCAGATTGTTCTTGTTGATGTTGCAATTCCCAATCAATGCAACCGCCAGGAAGCCGTTCCCCCACCCGGCAGTGATCCGAAAAGCTGTTTGTCATGTGGCTCTTTGGCGCATTGCGATTTAGTGTCGCACAAATCTGCACACGCCCGCGTCAGCTCCAGCCGTGTCCTAGTTGAAAACGGATGTTCAAGGCTGAGACAAAAGAACCGCAAGTCCATCTTGGGGCGTCAAAACTGGTTGTGGCATAGCTCTGGTAGCAACCTTTTTTGTTGTTGGGGGGCTGTGATGTACAGGATGACTTCTGCAGGCGCACCCACTCTGCTGCAAGCGAGCCCTGATCACATCAACGTGCTCCTCAAGGCACGACTCCTTGCAAACGGCTTCGCGAGAGACCGCGCCGCGCGAGTCCTTCAACGGATCCGAGACGGCGCCAGGAGCTAGCCTCAGCATTTGCGATGGGGCGATGTCCTGTTTGGTGTCATTTTATCCTTGGGAGCAAAGCTGGAAATTCATGGAAACCCGGTAGGCACTGCATATCTGGCGATTCCTGAGACCACGGCACGGCTCCAGGTGCCTTGGCGCCAAGCCGGATGTCTTAAGCTCAGTGTGCCGGATGCGTCGTCCAAACAAGTCTTTATTCATGGACTCGTTCTGAGGGGGGGCAACGGGGGGTTAACTTCAAACCTTACCTTACTTTATCTTCCTTTATCTTCCTTCAATTGCCTTTAGTTTCCTTTAGCGTCCTTTAATTTCCTTTAGCTTCCTTTAGCCTCCCTTATCTTCCTGTATCTCCCTTTAGCTTCCTTTAATTGCCTTTAGCTTCCTTTAGCCTCCCTTATCTTCCTTTATCTCCCTTTAGCTTCCTTTAATTGCCTTTAGTTTCCTTTAGCTTCCTTTTATTTCCTTTAGCTTCCTTTAGCCTCCCTTATCTTCCTTTATCTCCCTTTAGCTTCCTTTAATTGCCTTTAGTTTCCTTTAGCTTCCTTTTATTTCCTTTAGCTTCCTTTAGCCTCCCTTATCTTCCTTTATCTCCCTTTAGCTTCCTTTAATTGCCTTTAGTTTCCTCTAGCTTCCTTTTATTTCCTTTAGCTTCCTTTAGCCTCCTGTACCTTCCCTAAGTATTGCAGTCACTCCCCCCCTCCCTCAGAACGATGAAAGTCTTTTCTTGGGCCCCCCATGGCGCAACAGCTTTGCTCTTTCCCAAAATGACACCCAAAAATGGGCACCCCAACTCGAGAAGACGAGCCAAGTCAGTCACAAGCACAGTCTGCCTGCCTGCGCTGCGAGCGCCTTGGCCTTGGACAATCCGCCACGCTGGGCTGTTCAAAAAGGATCGGCCAACCGGATTTTATTCAATCCACTAAGGGGATCGGTGCCTTGCGTAGCTTTGGGCAAGGATTGAGGATTACATTTGAACAGCTTAAGAGTTAAGGGGACACATGAATTATAAAGCAAAGTGGAGCAATAGCTCAGCGCTGATTTCTACAAATGCGTGCACTTTCCACGTCAATCTTCAGCTCTGAACTCAAGACTGCCAGAATTTGGCTCTTGAGTGTGCTCGAATGGAAGACTTGCGTAATCTTGAGCTTGGCCAACTTGCAAACCATCGGTTCAGCTCTTGCAAAGCTCAGGACGAACGCACTGGCTGCAACAAGGTGAAACCTGAAGAAAACAACAATTTGCACTCCTTTGAAGGGCACCGAGACTTTTCCTTGAGTTTGATGCTTGGGATCGTCTCATGTGAGTCACAACCAAAACCCGGTACTATATCATGGTCTACCTAGAACCATGTAAAGAATCACCAAGGCGGATATCCGCTCGTTCCCCTCCAATTGCCCGGGTTTTGATTGTGACTCATATGCTCTATGCCTGAAGCTGCCTCTCACCCAGCATCATCAACGTCTGAATGTCCTTCAAGTCACCTTAGGTGCAGCCAGCGCCTTCTGAGACTCTTTTGGGCCATACGTCGAAAGGCAACCAAACATGACATGGGGGGTCCCCGTTGAAGGCACACCTTGGGACTGCATTCAAAGGACACGCGTCACGCAACACGAAGATGTGCACATGGAACTTCACAACCCAAGCGGAATCGTAGCAAACTGACGGTTTTTGCATGCGAGCCAGTGCCTGGCTCCGTAGCTCTCTCTCTCTCTCCAATTTGCCCAAAGTGCCTTCAATAGCGTTCCTCAGTTCCAAGGCCTGCAAGGCTCAAGACACTCCCAAAGCTTCAGGACGCAACAGCTGAGCCCCATGGACATGTCTAGACACGGTTTTCATCGCGCTTTGAGCACAACTCTTGCAAATCACAGCCCCTAACACTACACAAATCTGCGCGCAAGACTTACACTTGGCATCCATCCTCGCCTCCTTGTTTTTTGCAGTTTTTGCTTTGCTGGGCCGCTGATCTGCGCTCTTATCGTCAATCTGTGAAATGCGAGCCTGAGAGCGACCCATGCTTGCAGTAGCATTCGGCCCTCAGCTATTCTCTAAGAGCCAAGCTTGTCTCCGCTGGATATCCATCACCAGCTCTTCAAAGATCTCGCGCTGCTCAGCATTGAAGCCATTCCTCACACTCCAAGGGCCCAAGCAACATGCTTCCAAAAAATGCCGCTTGAAGCAC